TTGGAGACTTTCTTCCTGTTTATTTTCTCGTTCTTCTTGTTTCTTTTCTTTTTCCTCTAACCACTGCTGTAATTTCTCTTCTTGTTTTTTTTTCTTTTTCCTCCAACCACTGCTGTAATTTCTCTTCTCGTTCTTCTTGTTTTTTTTCTTTTTCCTCAAACAGCTACTGTAATCTCTCTTTTTGTTTATTTTGTTGTTCGAGCTGCCACTGTTGCAGGTTTTCTTGCAACTGCTGTTGTCTCTCTTCTTGTTTCTTTTCTTTTTCCTCTAACAACTGTTGTAATTTCTCTTCTCCGTTGCGTCATCGAGATCACGTGACTATTCTCACGCCCTCTACTTTCTAGAACTATCCTGTACTTTGGCGAATGCTCTAGCATTTACTAGATATAGGGTAGTTTGGTATATAAAAGAGGGTGACAACATGACGGTAATGTAATGGGTGTGTAGACAGTGAGTAATTGACCTGTAGTCAGAGAGTATTATTGAAGTTGAGCAAGTTCGTTGTTACAGCATTTGTTTTAGTGTGATTGTTGAAATTAAGTGTATCGTAAAGTTATATTCGGAAAGAATAAACCAGTTTTATTAAGTAAGGACTTGTGTCGCTAAAGTTTCGTCGGAACGTAGTTACGGAAAATTAATTAACAAACGGAGACATAACAAATTGGTGTCAGAAGTGGGATAGTAAAAAAAAAAGGAAACGAGAAGCGGCAAATCAAACTACAGCCTAGCAGACTTGATGGTAGCAATACAAGAATAGCAAAAGAAACAAGAAGAATATACTAATGTATTATATTTTTATGTACTTTATAAACACACCCAAGAGTATAGCATAATACTGGAAAAATTAACTGATTTTGTAAATATTTACTATTGTACTTCATTATCTAATACAAAAACACTTAGTTTTTGTCTGTCCTAAAATTGCATATGCACCTTACTATCTAAGTGCACATGCACTTTATTTCAATGGATGTAAACAAAAGTCAGATGCAAATATACTAATGCAACAACTATATAGTAATTTGTCTTTTTATCTATTACACTCACTATTGAAATGGCTTTTTAATTCAAAAAAAACTTGTCACAGTACAAATGTGACAGTTCAAACATAAAAAAGTAGGAAATATAATAATTTATCATATCATCCTACTGACAATTACTGAAGCTGCACACAAAAGAACCCGGAAACAATAAAAAAATAATACTGTTCATTCTATCAGCTTTGTTGAAACAGTTTTAAATAGAGTAAAATAGAAAGTATAAAAGTAAGCACATAACTCATTTACTTCATTTAAGCAATTTATATTTTTCATTATCAAAATTCTTTATACTTTTGAGCATTCTTAAATAGTTTGTATTTTTCCAGATCAAAATTTTACAGGTCTGTATGTGTTTTGAAAGTTTAAAACTGTCATGGCTTCCGACATTGTTCCTGCTCTTCAATGATTCTGACATTTAACTAACAACTGACAAAACAAAACTAAACTAACTAACAAAACTAAAAATCACCAGTTTTTTTATGGTGCTTTAGTTTACTGAATGTTAGATATACATGACTGTTTAAATTTAATGCAAGTGTTATGACTTAGATAGTTTTAGTATAGCACAAGAGTTAACTTTATAAGTGATAGTTTATCACAGGTTTGTTTACGTAACTGTGTATGAATCATATGTTGTGTAGGTCAAGTGTTGTGAATTGGCACTTATTGTATTATTGCATCATGTTACTAGAACCTTCAATGTTTTTCTTGAGTATTATTACATCATAAAATCGTGTAGTGTGTAGAAAGTTCTAGACCTCAGTTGGGCTATTTATAAATATGCATCCAAAGTGTAGTTCAAGTTAAGTGAGAAATGTAGTCAGATAGATCTAGACTGTGTAGTTGTGTGTTTAGCCATAAAGATAGTACAGTGACAATTTCTAAATGAAATTATCACATACCGTATTGCAATAATAGAGTAGCAAAGAATAATTTTTTTGTCAGTTGTTTTCTGAAGTAATTGTAACAGCCTATATGGACTTTTTGATGAAAAAGAGACAATTATTTAAAGCTCTGGATACAGCTGTGGTAACCAACAGTTATAGTGGTAATTTTAAAGTGAAGTTAACATAGACTGTATTGTAATAACAGGGCCGGAAGAATAATTTGTCTTGTAAAAGTGTGTTCTAAAATAACTGAACTAGCCTGTGTGGACTCTGACAAAAAAAAGAGACAATTATTTAAAGCTCTGGATACAACTGTGATAGCCAACAATGTAACAACATTTGTATGTACATTTGAATTGTTTTAATATATATATATATTATTTTAAAACTAGTGGATTGTATGCTGTTTGTTTATTGTTAAAATTTATTGCCAACAAGTCACAGACACCTACTGTGAAGAATCCGGCCTATCCACATGTATAAAAACCTGACACTGAACAAACCATTCACTTGAGAGAGTGGTTAAAGATTTATTCTAAACATTTATTTCTATTCTTGAAATTTATTTTTGATTACTTATAATATTTTTAATATAAAATTTGTTTAGACTACCCCCAGATATACTGACATTGAAATGGTTAATTAGACCCACAAAAAATGATTCTCCATATTTCATGTTTAAAAAATATTAAGCTATTTTTCTATTATATTGTAATTGATTTCAATTACTACATAAAGTGAAAAAATTAAGTTACCCTTAAGTTTTAAAATCTTCCAAACGTCTTTCACCTTGCAATTATTTAAAGTGTGTTAAAATAAAAAGTAATTTTTGATGGCATTAATAATCAAAATAATAGTACAAAAGCTGTTCAAAACTTTGTATATTCTCAGGTATTTTATTGTTCTATAATTCTTTTGTACAAATAATTAAACCTTTATGTTAAATGCATGTATGCATCTACAGCTTATAAAGAATTAAGATTACATTTTTTGTCTATTTAATGTATTTTTACTGTTAAAATACCCATTAGATATCATACCTCTCAAGTAATTGTATGTGATATCTTGGAATAAAAATAAATCTTGTTTGTGTTGATTATGTTTAACTAAAATAAACACTTGAGATAAAGCCCCTAATAATTTTCTGTATATTTCCTATCTCAGTGTAAAATACATAGTTTTTGTGTTATGATATTATAGCTTTCAAATTATACTTGACAAAAGCAAATATTTGGAAAGAGAACATGAGGAGATTAAATCCATTTTGGAGCAAGGGGAAAACACAAAAACTGAACTGGAGAAAAATATAGCAAATCTACAGAAAGAAAACAGCCATTTAACCTCACAGATTAAAGACTTGGAACAGGAGGTGAGTGAATGTTTTCTAAAGTGTTCATATGAACTACAGTACCAGTATTATAATAATTAATTACAGTTGCATGTTGCCACAAGTGCATGGTTTCATAGGCAAGGTCTTTAGCACCTATCTCTTTAGTTCATGGTAAATATCTAATCATTTGACAGTGTGGTGTTTTGCAGATAGATAAGTCACAGCCCTTTCCTAGAAAGTATATTAAATAATAGTGATAAATTCATGTAAAGCTAAAAGGTGCAATATTTAACAAGGGAGTCTTCAATAATTCTTCACGGAATAGAAAAACTTAAACAACAGAGAGTTTCGGACAATGACAGACTCCAAAAACCATACCCCAAGTCGATCTTGAGTAATTCCTTAATCTGCAAAGAGAAGGATGTGGTTACAAAAGAGAACATTTTGTCCCAAAAAAGCCATTGCAGTGAAACTGGCCACATCTCTCGGTCCCATGAACAAAATAATAAACAAGGATTTGAAGTTAGCAAAAGCTCATAAGCATATCTTTCAGTTACACCTTGAAATCAACAGCTGCTTTCATGAAAAGATGACTAAGGAAACTAGAATCACAGCAGTCCAATTTGATCATGTACTTTTCAAGTATGAATTGAAATATTATTTTTATAAAGTGTGATTAACTTTTAGTTGAAATATATTAAGTCTGAATACCAAGGGTGGTCAGATCCAAATGACAACCCCCCTATGTCACTCCCAGGAGGATCTCAAGGGAGCACACCAAGTTTATAACTAGCATTTTGCTAGTTATAAACATACACACAGATGTTTGTCAGATAAAGGCTTAGATTGTAGTAACAGAATGGATTATGTTTGATTAAAAATAAATAAAAAACGAATTTTGGGGGCATGATGGAAGACACTTTTCATTACTTGGTTCAGCCAACTAGTTTTGGTACTGTTGTTACTATCATCAGGGTTGTGAATACAATGTTAGCTTAACCTATATTAACTCCAACTGTTAATAGGTAAGTCTATTTAAAAGAAACAGAAAAAAAAGGTCAAAAGCAAAGGTAGTTGGGGAGGTAAATAGAGAATAAGACAATTTTTCCATTTGGACACATTGATTTATCCATTGTCTCTATTTATACACACAAGTCTGTTCTTAATTATTCAAATACTTTCTCTTAAGTTTCTTTCTATGTTTGTTGATGCATTTCTTAAGATTTTCACAATTTTTAAATCATGATTACCAAAGCTGTTCAACTTCAGCTGAGGTTGTGGTATTACTATTAAATGTTTCATTGTTGACAAATGTTACAGTATCTAAATATAATACTTTAACCTTCATTGTAGATTAGCACACTGAAGTTACTTATTGTGTAAATCTCATTTTCTAGAACATACAATGTTTGTTAGGTATCCTTATGTTACGCTGGTAAGCTAACCTTATGTTCATTATATAAAGACCCACCATAACTTTCACATTTTACAACACTTTCGAAAAAGACACTTTATTTAACAGATTTGTTAATATTGAAGACTTATCTTTAGAACACATCAACGAATTAGTCAATCTTCCCAGACTTTATATAGAAAATTGTTTAGTATATTTATGAATACTTTTGAAAATTCCATGTTACAAAAAACTTTAATAACACCTATAGGATATAGAAGATGTGTAAATGAAACCTTCATGGTGTGGCAACACAGCAATGAAACCCTTCAGGAATTTTTCTACAATATAAATGATAATGATAAAGGAATTACATTTGCTATGAAGTCCAATAAATATGAACTAGCCATCTTAATTGTTCTTATTAAAAAAAAGATGATAATAAGTTAAAATTCAGTGTATCTTGCTGTCAGTAAGCCTCCACCTTATAACTCCAACCAACCTCTAAGTCAAAAACTAAGCATGCTGTTAACAATGTTATGATATAAAAGATACAAACAATGAAAAAATTGTACTTACAAGTAGTAGCAGTAGAGGGAGGTTATGACCTTATTATCATTGACAGAGCTAGCTTTCCATGAAACGAATGGCAAAAATCTACAAATGAAATACTCTAAAATTTACTTCACTGAAATCATCTTATAACAATTACATTCATTAGTAAGTAATTTTTTCCTGCCATTTTAAAAAGAAATTGCTAAAGCATTCCAATTACAGGGTTACAATGTAACTTTCATTTCTCAAAACAAAATTGTTAACCAGTTACAAACACTTAAAGATAAAAAAAGAAAAAGCTTGAAGACAAAGATGGAACTTTTCAAATCAGTTGTAGGTGTGGTAGAATATACACAAGACAAAGAAGTAGGAAATTAGAAACAAATTTGAAAGAACACCGGAATGACATAAAATATGATAACATCATAACTTCAACTGCTGAACATTTATGGAACTGTGATGGTATTCGTGACTAGAAAAAGTCCATCAACAAACATGGAAATTAACTTAAGAGAAAGTATTTGGATAACTCAAAGATATCCATGTTTATAAATAAAGACAGTGGATCAATTAACATGTCCTGTTGAAAAAATTACTTGTATTAAATATTTCCTTATGTACTATTTACCCACTCACCTGCCTTTGTCTCCTGACTTTTTATTTTTTAGTGAACTTACCCTTTAGTGGTTGGAGTTTAATACAGTTTAAACTAATACTGTATCAATAAACCCTTAGGATGTTAACTGTGTTACTAGGCCTAGTTGGCTGAAACAACTAATAAAGAGTATCTTTCGTTGAGCCAAGAAACCTTTTTTTTTTTGGCTCTTAATATACAGCAGTACAATGTTTATGAAAACAAGTTAGGTTAAGTTGAGTTGGTTGGTAGAATATGTTTTATGAACTTCTAAAATAGAGAAGGAGTTGCAAATTTCTTCTATATTTTGTTCTAAAAATAAATAAGGAAAATCAAGAAGGTACATAAACTTGAAGTTTTGAATATCATTGAACTGCCTTGTGTTATGCTTAATTTAAAATACACATAGTTGGGAGTAATACACTATAAAGAACTTTGACACATTAAATACCGTCTTGTCCATTTGCATGGTATAAACTGTAAACCTGGAAAATGACCTTTCAAGTAATCAATGGCATTTTACTGTATTTTACATCATAGTCATGTTTTTTTAATCAGATAAGACTAAATTTAAAGTGCCAGGCAGCAGCTGTAATACTTGTATCTTATTTTGCATTTTATTGCTAGTGACATAGTTCCACACATGTACATTATACAACCTTAAACAGCAGAAAATGACGATTGAGAAAGATATTGTATTGTATCTAGAAATTCTATAATTGATTCTTAAGAAGGAAATATATGTGAAGTATGTTACTTTCACTGTAACTTAATACATATTAAAGGACATACAAACAGTTGTTTTAAAGATATGATTACATGAATAATACTTTAAAATATTAAGTTACTTTTTTACAATGGCAGAATAAGAGTTTTTATGAAATATCAAACATCAAATGCTACTGTATCTGATTCTTCTAGTCCAAAAGATGTCACAAAACCAAGTGACAGCCAGATGCAACTACAGTGTTTATTGGATGAACCACATATAATCTAAGGTTACATCCATCTTGAGTTTACCATTTATTATTCATTATATTATGTTAACCTGTATCACTAATAGTATCTTTCAAAAGTATATTGTAATGATTTTTACTTTAAAAAACAATATTTCTTTATGTAATCTTATGCTATATATAAATGAGTTACCTCGAGGGTTTCTGACAAAGCAGAAAATTGTGGGCCTCCAAACACAGGAGGTTTGTGGATCTTGTGTGTGAGTGTGTTTCTTTCCTAACAACTGTGAGTTGGGCCACAAAGAACAAGACAGAACATGTGCATATTTACACAAGGAATCAGTCTTTAATTTTAATCTTGACAGTTTCCAGAAAAACAAACAAAGGTGTGTAACTAGTAAGAATGATAAAGACTTTATTAAATAATAGGCTCTTGTCAGTACATGTGCACCACATTGTAACATAGGCAAACATATAAAAATAGAATAATTCCAAACAAAAAATATTCCTAACTTAAAATAACAATAATATGTACTTCAGATTAAAACCTAGGCTCCACTATCTTGTGGGGGCAAGTTATATATATATACACTCCTTGATCACTGTCAAAGTTAAACAAATACATAAACACTTAACTGAATTATAGATAAAAGCCAAATGGCACCAGCACAAACAAAAATGAAAGTTAACTTTAAAGTTAAAATAAAATTTGATAAAGTAAAACTAAATAAAAATGTACAAACCTAGCAACTGCAATTCAAAGTGAGAACTTTAATTAAATTAATTGAGAGTTCCTACGTAAAAGTAAAAGTAATAAAAACACTGCATGCAAATCTAGTGAAATTATGCTAAAATCATTGAAAAATCTATGGAAATTCTATGTAAATCTGTGTAAAATCTAGGAAAATTTGCTGAAATTCTGCTTTCTCAGGCCCCAACACTTAATATTGCAATAAATCTTCAAGTTTCTGACACAGTAAAACATTGATTAGTGCCTAATAGATCAGTGGACTAGAAAGATAGTGAGTGAATTCACTTGCAACTAATGCCCAGTCTGCTGACAAGGATTGTTTGGTGTATTAGTTAAAAAGCACATTGTTATTCCTGTAAGAGAATCAGACAAAATGGTGCTAATCTTCACTTGACCCAATTAGTCCTAGGGGAAAATTCAAGCTGGAAACCCTCTTGAACAATGCCATATTCCAATTGTAGGAATTATAGTGAAAATGAAAAAAACAATTTGTAAACTTAACATTATATTAAAAGGAGTGAAAAACATAGCACAGCCTGGTACTACATAATATATATTAAACCAAAACTACACTTGAAATTCAGTGATCAAGCAGTATTTTCAACCTTCATATATTGACACAAATTTTACAAAACAAAAATGAAATATGATTATTCAAATCAGTGCTTAAGCTAGAAGTATGAGTTTCTGTCATAAAGATGATAATATTGAAAACACTGTCATATTTATTCTTTGAACTTTGCCACACACGTATACAAAAGAGTTTCCAGTACCCTTATACCTTGAACTTGATTTATTATGCATGAATAAAGCTAGAAAATGTGTGTATTTATACAATAAATTGTATTTCAATAAAACTTTTCCTGGTATCAATACTATTACTTTTGCTTGTATGCTAACACACACACACAAAAAACATCACTGAGTGTTTTCCTTTTAAAACGCCCCCCAGTGGTACAGCGGTCTGTGGACTTATAATGCTAGAATCCGGGTTTTGATACCTGTGGTGGCCAGAGCACAGATAGCCCATTGTGTAGCTTTCTGCTTAATTACAAACAACAACCTTTTAAAACATAAGGAAATTTGAATTGTTTCAAGTGAAAAATATAAAGTAATTTGTTTTAATATATGTTATTGTAATGTTCATAGTTTTTCAACAATAAATATCACATAGTGAGCAGCCTATAGTTTTTACTGTCTTTTAATTGTATATAGATTACACATAGTAATGCATTGGTTATTTTATAAATTGATTTTTATTAAATTATTTTAAAATGTTATAATTAAATACACATATGTGTCATTTCCAGCTTATGATGACTTACTCAGCAGTAGAAAATTATATGAAAGAAGGGGAACTTACAACAATGCTAAAAGATCAAATTGAAGAAGTAACACGTCAAAAAGATCTGTGCAAAACAGAATTGGATGAGGTTAGTAGAAAAAGGTTTATCATACACCAACATACGTGTAAAATATAAGTACAAAAATAAGTTCTGTCGAAAAAAGTTACATTTTTTTTTGCAATTTTATTGAAAGTTTATAATGTAGCATGAGGCAGTACTTTATAGATAGGAATATCATTAGATTTCAGTTGATTGACATCTACATACTAATTTAGAAAAATTTTTGTTCTCTCTTTTAATCACAGTCTTTAACTTAAAGAAGAAATAATTTGATTAAAGGTAAACATAAAAATATTGTGTATCATGTTAAAAATTATGTTTAATTTAGGATTGAGGTGCTTAATGATAATGTAATTCAATAGTCAAATAGTGTCTTGATTTATACACTGTTGTATTATTTTGTATAAACTTGTAATAGCAAACAGTCTAAATGGTTCTGATATTCCTAGGATTAAGTTAGTATAGCATGCCTCTATAAGCTTCATTTTTTTTATATACAAAATATGATAAATCAGTCTTGAAAAGTTTTATAAAATTATTTTTATCCAATGATTCATACAATATTATTCTGTTTAGTTAGATATATCATAAAAATCATGTTCTGAAGTATCTAGTTGCAAAAGGTTTAGAGTACTTGTGTTAAGTGTTTTGGCTTTAACAGACAGCTTCTGCCTATTATTATAGTAGGATAATATTTCTATACTGAGGTCTTTTTCGGGTTGAACCCAAAGTTGTTAAGTTGTGTCTCTGTGTTTGTTAATACAGTTCTGTAACAGAGTTGCATGTAAATAAGCATATCTTGAAATCATTCATTCAGTATAGTTTGGGGAGGAGGTTGTCCAGAGGTTACTTATATCAATGCCATGTTCTCGGCTGAATATCGATTATTGTAAAAGGGTTCTTTAATTTTTCAATGGTAAACCATGTCCAGAATTTGATGTTGGTCCCAGTTCATGATATGGCCTGTTTTTCAATTATGTTCTTCTGATGCTGTTTTTTCCCAAGATGTCAGTCTGGTTGTATCCTTGTGTTCTGTTAGTTTTTTGTTCTGTGGTTTGACCTGCTTCTCCAATATATGTATTTTTACACAAACTCAGTATTTTACAAATTCATTCTTTTTGTTTTAACTTGTTAATGGGTTCTTTCTTTTCATGAGAGCGTTTGAAGAGTTTTACAGATTTTAGAGACTGGGATCTATGTATATTCTATATTTTCTTTAACTTTTAAAACTATATCAGTATCTTTTATAATTGCAGAAAACTAGACTTTATGAAGAACTAGAGCAAGTGGTGAGAGAATATGCAAAAACTACTGAGGTAGGCATTTTTAACTAAAAGTGTATGCATCTGTATTATAATATCATGCAAAGTAACTAACATAATCATGCATTTTTTTCACACAACACAAAAATGTATTTAAATCATTCCACATTACTGACTCCTCTGTACAAGGAAAAGTTCTTAAATAAGCAACTAAATTACATTTCATGAATTTAAATGAATAATAAGTGTAATGAAAACAATAAGAAATATCTACATCAAGTAAAACTGAATTATACTGTTATAAAACTAATTTAAAAATTATTAATATAAAGGTTTCATTTTTTGTGCAAATATTTCAAGTAATATTGCAACTTATACTGTTTACACAGTCTTACAATTTCTGTGTATGGTATTAAAGGGACAATATTTTGCAATTTCTACAATTATGTTTATTTACAGCTTCATAAGTATACTACACAGCATTGAAAGTATTGGTTTCTGTTATAGGGTAAGGTTTTATTGGATTATTCAGTAAAAGAATAATTTAATGTCCAGCCCTCTTAATGATAAAAGAAAACTGTTTTATTTCATCGTCTTCAAGTTCCACTATTTTAAACTAATGAATGTTTAATAGCTGATAGATCTAACTTCACAAATAAACAATGTGTAATAAACATTCCATTTACTTGCTAATTTTTCCTCCTATTTTTGCACTGAAATACAGCACTAAACTTACTGACTAAATGGCTGAAGCAACAGGAAAATTGAATAATTGATGCACTGATTACTTATTAACTCAATCTCTAGCGTAACTTAATTTATATTTATATATACATAGCTCAAATTGTTTGCCAAGTTTTGAAGAAAGTTCCAGATATTACAGCCACATCAGCCATATCATGTTACACTGAACTTCCTTCTGGCTAAACAACAATATACAATTTGAGAAATGTCTAGATCAGCACTTCCCAAACTTTTTAAATAAATAACTTCATTTTGAGACATAGAAATTTATATGACTCCCAGACAGCACCCAAAACAACCTTGCAACCAAAGTATTATAATAATAAACACATTTACATGGAGAGTTTCAAAGCATTTAAATTAAGATCAAAAGTAGGCCAAATGTAGTCATCTTCTCATGACCCCATTGACAGATGCCATGATCCCATGTATGGTAACTACTGGTTTAGATTAACAACATAAGTTAGAACACTACCCCCTCCCTAGATTGTGATATTTCTCTAACATTCCTATCATACAAAGTGAACAGTTGCATATTAAACATAAATCTCCATAATTAACATTGAGTAACTCTTCAAAATTAATAATATTAATATTCAAAAGCCTAAGCATTACAACTATTAAAACATCATTGAAATATGTAAAACGTAAAGTATAATCACAATTTGTTAACAACATAAAGAAAATCTTTTACCACTCAGTAACTATACCTAAACTGTCTAATCACCAAATATTTTTGTTAGTTTATTTTTGTGGCTAATGATACAAAAAATGACTTCTCATCCTTTATAATACTGTCGTTAGGGAAATTCTTATAAGGTATATAGTCGAAAGAATCTGCTAGTAGTTCCATCCCTTGTGATGTCTTGTAAGTGATTCCAACAATATCCTTCAGCAGGTTGACTTATCTCTTGCTAAGCCTTCTCTGCATAATCAGTTGGATATTCTTCTGATATACTTCTAAAGATGACTACAGTGGATTGGCTTTGGTTTGGACCACTTCTCTTTTTGGATTTGACTCTGTTACACTTTACATACATTGGTGGTCTTCATTATTTTGTGTTTCCTTCTTTGTTATCACTCAAACTTCAACCTCTGATGATGGAATTGTTGTGAAGTGCACAGACATTTCCAGACTGTAGATGTGAAACTATTTTAAGTTATAACCTCACACCAGTGATTTCAATGTGGTCTATTCCTGGTTAACTATGTTGTGTTTCCCAACTTTCTTCTTGCTGGTACTTTATAACCACGTGCTGTTTACATTAATCCATCTTCTATCTTCCTCACTGGATGCAATTTCCCAGGTTTCATTAACACATCAGGATAAACAGTGGTATGTAGAACAATCTCAGTCAATATATTACAAGACATCCTATTGTGATTTCCAAGCATTACCATATATTTTCTACCTTTTTATTTTGATACAGAATTTTTTTTAATTTTCATAGTTTTTATAAGAATGTGTAGTTTTAACATAACACATGGTCAAGAAAGTATATAAATTGCTTTTGCTCTGGTTACCTTTGTTCTTTTCATTCCCTTAAGATAATACCTAGTCTGCTTATGGGGGTGGGGAGGTCTGGGTAAGTATGAAATTATTGTTTAGCTAAGTAACATAATGTTTGGTCTGCTGGAACATGATCACAATCAAGGTAGTTTGGAGGGAAAAAAGCTTAAATCCAGTAAAGGTGACCATCTGTTGTATCAAGCAAGTATATACAATGTGTTTGTGTTTATGAATAGTAAAGATTGTTCATTGTATTTTTGTAAAATTGCATACACTCTTTTTATTTCCTTGTCATGAACTCAATTATTCAGAAAACTCGGGATTACTTTATAATAAATACCTTATTTGAATCTCCTGTTATTCTGCTGTACTATCTTGTCTCTTAATAGAAATCAGTTTGATCTAAAAAGTACCACAGAGTGGATAAGAAGAAAATTTTGGTGTTATGACCACGGGATATCTTATTGCAGAGTTTTCTATTTCTGCTGACATGTTTATTGCACTTTATTCCAGTTATTAAGTATTTTTTAAAAAATGGCTTCATTCTTGAAAAAATGACATTTTTTTTCCACAACACAAAATACTTACAACCAAGAGAAAGAGCCAGTCACTAAAAGAAGTTGACTTTCTGAGAGAGTAATCAAGGCTAGGAGTAGTTCTCTCCTGGATATAGGGCTTGCTGATGTATCAAAGGTCCATGGCTTCTTTCTTGTTACAGTCAATGACTCAGAAAGGAGAGCCATTGATGTCTGGTGCACCCAGAATAGCCATTCACATGCTTTTGCTTAAACCTGTCCTAATTCCAAGGAAAACACACTTGAATGAGGGTCTTAGCTGTGGTGTGAAAGCTGGCAGTTCTGAGACTGAATGGGGTACTCTGGATAGGATTTCTAGGCCTTTGCCAGCCAAAGTAACTCAATCCCAGGTCTGGTTGAAGCCACCTGAAGTCAGTCATGAAAAAACGGAGGTGCTTGCATAGTTTGCCTACAGGACTCATTTCACCAATAGGTGAGATGATGGGCATCAAATTGTGAAGATAGTGAACCATAGGACAGCAGTGAGCTTCCTTAAGCTGGGAAGTATCCTGCCAAAGTGACCTGGACCTAGTACCAACTACTCATCTGAAATTTGGTGTCCCTGAGCATGTCTACTCAGTGTACCCAATCAAGAGTGCAGCAAAGAAAGACTTGGATCATATTCTGAAGCTTTTCAAGCAAGTAACTGCTTGGAATGGCTGGTCTCCAGAACAGATTACATAATGCCTGATCTTGAGTGTGGGTGGACTGGCCTTAGACATCATACAGCACTTGAGCAAAGAGCAAGCTCAGACTATAGAACAATCATTGCTGAGTGACCCAAAGTTTTGTCGTGATGAAAAATCTAGTAATTAATCAGGCCAAGTCCAAGAATAGAATGTCACAGAGAACTGGAATGCATATGCAGATGATCTGCACAGTTTATCTTGTATTGGCTTCAGCATATCATGAGGATATTTTTATAGACAAGTTTGTAGAAAGATTATCTATTGCTAAAATGAGGAACCTGTGTATGAGAGATAGTTTTTCCCTTTCTGAGGCAGTTTCTGTAGCAATGAGCTATGAAGTTATAACTTGAACCATTTAAACAGAGGAAGAAACCTGAAGTGGCTGTACCTCAGACAAACCATCCAATCTAGGCACCAACATCATGCCAAGCTCAAGTCCAGCTTGGGATTAACCCTCTCACTACAAGTAGGTCAAAGTGTGCATTTCATGGTATTTTACAGAGTTGCATTCAAAATTTAGTTAAACTACTTTATTATCAATATATATGAATAAATTTGGCACTAAAAGGTAGTTAATTTTTAGGTAGTTAAGTTTTAATATTATATAAGCTTTGATTTCTTATTTTAAAAAGGAAATACTGAAGTAAATTCTCAATCTTCTCTTGTATGTGTATTGAAATGTTTGTTTGCTCCAAGTTGACCATCCTCTTATTTTTTCATCACTCCTCTTTTATATTCTGAGTTCCAATAAGGTACTCTCCCTTCACTCACAAGATTAGTTCTTGTCATTTCTTGCTGACCTCTATATGCGAACTTTTTTCAGAAATACATGCCACAAGCTTTCATTCTCCCACTGTTGGAATCCAAAGTTCCAACACGTCCTCATGCAAATCATCATGCGTCACCTCTCCATCATGTGACTCTACACGCCACTACCAAACTATCACTTTCGTATTGCCAGCTGTCAAGTTCAGACATTCTTTTTTACATTATTCAGTTACCTTGAAGTGGTTTATTTTTTTTATTTTTTTTATTTTTCTGAAGTTTATTTCCAAAACTTCACAGTTGTGGAGTTAATATTTTAATAAAGCATTACTTCCTCATGTTTTCCGCTTATGAATTCTGAAGTTACAGTCAACACTTCGGGTACTTTGTCAGCATTTGGTGCCATCTTTTCAAACTTTATCTCTCAGGTATGTGATGTTTTGTCTCTTCCACCTGTTTCCTATGATCCTAGACCTTGCCTCTTACATAAAACTTCCCAACCCTATTTAGTCTTTCCCCGATATTAGGGTTCAGCAGACTCATTTGCCTCTCAACTGGGGGAGGGCATTAGGATACCTCATCCCCCATGGACTTTGGATCAGTCTTGTGCCCGTCATAGGCCAGGTGGTTAGGGCACTCGACTCGCAATCTGTGGGTCGCGGGTTCGAATCTCCGTCACACCAAACATGCTCGCCCTTTCAGCTGTGGGGGTGTTATAATGTGACGGTCAATCCCACTATTCGTTGGTAAAAGAGTAGCCTAAGAGTTAGC